CAGATAATTTATTAAAGAAGACCAATTATGGAGAAAAACCTATTGAATAAAATTGTCCAACTTTTTAAAAAAATAGAGATGATTCTGATAACTATTATTGACTAGTTCTACTATCTGTCGTTGAGATAATTTAAAAAAATTATTAGTTCTATGGCATGTCGTTTTATAATTCACCAATGGTCAGAGATTTTCAAATGTAGACCTTTCCAATATAAGTAATTTATTTTTTGATTGCTCGAAGCGCGGATGATTATATGTCTCGGCCAAACAGACTTTTATTTAAATTATTAGACCAGTAAAAATCGTTGTAGCGTATTTTTTCCTTTTTTGTCCAAAATGGTAAAATTGATATGGTTAGCACGGCCCTATTGCTGCGCTATGTAGCCACAAATGGCAATTTTGTAGGGACCGTGTCCTAGAAAAGTCTTGGTGTAATATATAATATATTTTTTAACGCGTCCGCTGTGACAAGGTTTGACTGTATTTAGTAAAGCTGAAAACATAATGACATCCGAACGAATAAAATTGAATCCGTTGTTATTTGTATTTTAAAAAAAAAAAAGCATATTTAACGGATATTCAGTGGATATTCAGCGGATATTCGGTGAATGACCGATTATCCGGGTGTTGAGCTTTATTGATTGATCAAGTACTCAAACACCCGGATAATCAACGAATACAATCACTAATGAAATGAAAATCTGCAAATAAACATTTAAATAAATCCTTTCACATTTTTTCATTATTTTTGATCACTAATCAATCAATTTTAGTTTAAATTATAGAGTTGGTTTTGTAAAAAAAATCCTAACCAGCAATCTATAAAGGCATTTTATAAAATAAAATAAAAAATATATTTTCTACTTGTTTTTGAATTGGTGGTTGTTTTATAACGATTGTGATATATATATATACATTGAGAAAATTGAACCCTGAAATTTTTGTATGATATAGTGTTTACCCCATATTAATATAAATATTAAAATTTGCAAGTATGTTTCCCAAAAAGGTAACTTTATTTCCTTTATGGGTAAGATATTACTACCATTATTATTATAGATCAAAAAAAATTTTTGATGATAATAAATAAAAAATGCCAAAAATTCATGATTTTTGCGCAAGAATTCAAAATGCCTTTCGAGCTAATCATCAGTATGTAGTAGTCCCAGAAACAAAAATGAATTTGAGCCTTGCTTCAATATTGTGTCGAGAAGGATTTGTTTCTTCAGTCCAACGTGGAAATCATGTTAAACCTGATGAACAACCTACTCAGACAACACCAGAAAACATTCCAACCCGAAGATATTGGCTCAAACTTAAATACTCTGATAATCGACCAGTATTAGAACAGATGAAATGTGTTAGTAAAGGTTCCAAACGGGTTTATATGAATGTCAGTGAACTACAGGATTTGTCTTCTGGAAAAAGGGCCAAATTCATCCAACCATTACAATTTGGCGAAATTATTATTGTTAGCACAGCAAAAGGTGTTTTAGAAATTAAAGATGCTATTGGATTAAAGGCTGGTGGTGAAGTAATTTGTAGAGCCAAATAATTAATTATTCTATTAATAAATATTATATTACATTGTATAGATTTTAAAGTAATCTTTTTTATTATAATAAATGAGAATTGATTTCCACAAATTTTATATGTATAAAAGATTATTATCTTTTTATTTAGCTTAATTTGTAAATTCTTTTTTTGCAATTATTATTATTATTATACCAATCGTTAATTAATAACTTTTGACATCTACAATATTTGTATATTAATATTTGACATTTCCTTTGTGATGTATAATAGCAACAGATAAGGAATTGGTATTTTGTCTATATAATGTGACAGATAATGCCAAATGTTTGTCACCCACTAGTACTAGATTATCACATTTGTATACGATAATCAATGTTTTAACATATGATAATCAATTTTTTAACGTATATATTAATATAAGATTTATTGATTTTTTTTTTCGCTTTTGAAAAAAAAATTAACAAAATGACTCAAAGGTAATTTTAAATTGATAGTTCTTATACTAAATTACAAACCATTAATTAATTTATTAAATATATTATTTATTAGTTCAAATCTTGTCTTGACAGACAAGGTCTCTGGAGCTTCTTGGAACTTACCTTCTCCAATAACAGGTGGAAAGAGTTCACCTTCAAAACCTACTGCTGTTGTAGTATTGCCAACAAAGTAGTTGAATGTTTTATATACGCTTATTATTATTTATTATGATTTTATAATTAATTAACTCACGATTTATTGCAATTGTATTGTTTTAAAATAAAGTTCAAACACACAATCTCTTACAGTTTTAGACAATAGAACTAATAAAATTTATGAAATTCCAATCGAGAACAATACAATACCTGCCATCAAATTCAAGGAAATGACGGCGGATCCAATGCCAAATTCTCGGGA